ACAAAGTCTCCCTGTAGCCCCAGCTGGCCTGGAACTCATTATGTAGACCAGGCTGGCCTTGAACTCACAGAGATCCTCCTGCCTCTGCCTCCCAAGTGCTGGGACTAAAGGCGTAGCTTGGGATTTGGGATTTAAACCACAATGCTGGCTACATCTTCCATTTGGAGCCTTCAGACAGGGACCTGACTACAGAATGTAGAATCAGCTCCTGACACACAGAAGCTCCAACTTGGGAATCTTGCTCTAGTCCTCTCCTATACACTCCTCAAGCACTAGCAAAACCCCTGAGGGATAAAAGGGGCCCTTTCTTGCCTTGGACTGAAAGCCCAGGCCCCAGAGGTGCTATTCTGACTAAATTCCCTAAAGAGAGTAGATACAGGTGTCAAAAATGCTACAATGCAAATGGCAGCCAGCAGACCCCAGCCTGCCACAACTTGAAATGCCTACACATATGAAGGACATGAAGGGAGGTATCAAGGATGGGTGAGGGCAGAATGGGGCTCCTTGGGACAGTGTCCTGCTTGTTTGCCTTTACTTCTTGGCCTTGTCCTGGGCAGCCACACGTTCCATGGTTTTATGCAGGCCCTGATTTCTTCATCCCTGAGAAACTGCCTGTGTCTGATAGGGGTCAAAGTCTTGGCCAACTCATAGACAATGGGAATACTAACTGACCATCATAGCCACTTCAGAGGGCTCTGTGTTCCCCAAAAGGATTGTTTCACCTCCTGGATCTGGGGATCTCTTTCTTCATTCCAGAACGGCAGGCTTTCTTATCTTGGAAAGGAGTGGTTTGGGCCAATGAAGAGATATAGGCCATGAGGTTCCTCAGAAGCCTAGAGGGCTGTCCTGCTAGTCCTGCTGCAACCTAGCCAGCAGCAGCCACTAGAGAACTGAGAGTAATTCCCAGCAGGGGGAGGGGGTGGGGGTGAGGGACATCCTGTTCCTGGTTAGGAGTGGGACTGCACTGTGCATATGTGTATGTGTGTTACTAAGGAACTAACCATAGGCCTTTTGCATTCTAGCTAAGTATTCTAACTCTGAGGTATATCCTGAGCCCTTTTTTTTTTTTTTTTTTTTTTTTTGTCTTTTTTTCTTCTGTAGTTCAGGCTGGCCTTGAATTTGCTATGTAGTCCAGGCTGGCTAAAACTTGCAGACAACTTTGTAGGACTGCTTTGAATGTCTGAATGCTACCCTGGCTCCTGCCCTGGAGAGCAATGGCCAAGGATTGCTTAGTAGGTTCTAACAAACTCTCCAGAAGAGGACTGGTTGAGACCCAGTTTTTAACAACACAATCCTCCATAGTCAGTTCTCTCTCCTCCCCCTTTCCCTGTGTCTCTGCATCCTTGGTGATGCCAACAAACATTGAGCATATACTGTCTACCCATTCAGACACTAGATACCACAAGAGAACTTAGCAAATGTCCCAAAAGCTACAAGTAGAAATGCCCTTCAACTAATGGGTGAATAAAATGTGGTATATATCCACACAACAGAATACTAATCAGACATGAAAAGGCATAAATACGATACATGGGTGAACTCTGAAAACATGCAATGGAAGCAGACAGAAAACTTCACATATGATAGGATTCTATCTATATGAAATATCCAAAGGCAAATTAATAGAGACAAAAAGATGTGTATCAGGGATTCAGGGAAGTGGGAGACAGGCAGTGACTGCATGCTACAGGCTTCTTTCTAAGGTAATGAAATCTTCTACAACTGATCGTAGCAACAGTTACACAATCATGAACATACAAAAAAATCACTGAGGTATACACATTAAATGGGTGAATTATCAGGTATATGAATTAGATTTCAATAATGCTATTTTTTTATCCACTCTGATCAATGAGGATGCTAATCAAATCTTTAGAAAACTATATACAGTATACCAAGTATCATTGCTTAGGGGAAAAAAAATCGCACAGGAAAGGGAGATGGTGCATGGGTCAAATCTCTAATTAGTTACATGATATAGGGAGGGGGTTCAAGTTAAAGAGAGTGCTAGCAAGATGGCTTAGTGGGTAAAGGAGCTTGCTGCACAAGCTGAGCAGTGACCTGAGTTTGATTCCTGGAACCCCCGTAAAGGTAAGAAAAGGACCAACTCCACAAAATTGTCCTCTGAACTTACATATGCACCTCAACACACATACCAACGTGCACATACATAATACTTTCTTTTAACTTTTTAAAAGACCTGAGAGAAGGTCAGGTCTTTTAAAAAGTGGGTAAAGGTGCTTGCCACCAAGCCACATGGTGGAAGGAGAGAACCAACTCCCACAAGTTGTCATCTGTCTTACACACACACACACACACACACACACACACACACACACACAAATAATCTAAGCAAACAGGCAGCTGTAGGGAAGAATGCTCCAGGAAGCAGGTCCCTGAGACTCTAAGTCATAGATGCAGGCAAAAAAAAAAAAAACAAAAAAACAAAGGTCCAACTGAGAGAGTACTGAGCTCTAAGTAGCTAGAGTGTTGGGAGAGAGCACAGTTCCAGCTTCCAGAACCACTAATGCCAACTGAATGGAAAGGCTCTACCCAAGGTTGCCCCAACTTGTCCTTTACCAGAACCCCTGTTACCTTTCCAGGCCAGCTTGATGTTCCACTCATAGAAGAAAATAAGCTTTCCTTTGCGGCTGCTACAAGAAGCCTCGCCTTCCACCTGCTTCAACTCGGTGATCTCACAGCGGCCAACCTCATTCTCCATGGCAATGCCAACCAGAAGCTCTTGGAGTTTCCCCTTAGACCAAATGGTAGCATCCCGCTCTGTCCTGCCAGGGAACAGAAAGACACAGGGATGAGTAACCCAGCAGGTTTCCATCTGCCCAGGCAGGTCATCCTGACCCAGCACAGATAAGCCCTGGTCCTCTCCAGCAGCCTCCAACTTGCAAATGTGCTCCCACTAGCTTTCTACCAGCTATCTTCTACGCTCAATGCTCAGTTTCTTAAGACATCATGTAATAATCTTAAAAACACTGACCTCAGGAAGAAGGGGCTAGCAATCTCACCCATTGGAAACGGATGGACTAAGCTGAGGACATATGTAAAGGTGGCAATAATTTAACCCGAATCACAATGCCAATTATCAAGTATTTACATATTTGAATTATTTCATGCAATTTTAATATTCCCATTTGAGGGGACAGAAAGTAGCTGAGAAGTCAGTGTTCTGTCCACGGGGCTCACTCCTTCAGGACAGCAAAGTCATCTTATAGGCTGCCGGCTGGGAGCTGCATCAGCTTTCCCCAGCCCCCACTCATGGCCTTGAGGTGTCCCAGCCCTGGGGGTCAGAGAGCATCCTTTGCTGAGCCTCGGGAAGAGACGGAAGAAGACATCATCCCATGTTCCAAAGACATAAAAAGACGAGTAACTAGTTCAAACGGATAAAGTGAGGACTAAGTCCCTGTGCTTTCAAATGCACACTAAGACACAACCCGCTCCGCACACACCCCCTCCAGAGCATGAGGGTCTAGCGGGAGAGGAGAGACCGAGGTACAGGCTGTCAGGCGGAATGGGCATGTCACAAGTCAACTTTCAGGGCCGAGCCTGAAGCTGGAAAGCCAGGACAGTTAACACTCTCCCGCCTCGGCTCGGTAGGCCCGAGGACCAAAGGCAGCCGAGCTGCGGCGTCCACGGGCGGAGCGCGAGTCCGGCCCCCGAGGACCCACCCCGCTAGGGACGAGCGGCCGCGCGGCCCAGAGAGCCGCGCCCCGGGGCCCACCGCCGCGCCCGCCCGCCGCACCAGTGCCAGTTGTTCACGTTGGTCCCGTCCTCCCGCTCCTCCACGATCCAGCGCGGGTCCCCCTGGCCCCACTTGGCCATGGCGGCGGGCGGCAGGCGGCGCGACCTCCGCCCTTACAAGAGCCTGCCACTGGGGCTGCGGATCCGCTCGGGCGTTTCCGGCCTGCGGGCCTAGAATTGGCGAGATCGCAGCGCCCAGAAAGTGCCAGAAATCACCGCCCCTGCCCCGCCCTGCTCGCGACTGCACTCCGCCCCTGAATCCGCCCCTCATGCCCCGCCTCTCCGGGACCCCGCTTCGCCGCCCCGCCATCAGCTCAGTTCACCCTACGCTCAGGCCGTGGACGCCCCGCCCCTAGGTCCGCCCCCTGAAAC